CTGAGCAAGGCTGAGTGATCATGGATGACCGAGATATGTTATTCATATTGTGGTGCATCCCCAAAGCGGCTTGTTTTATCTGTTAAAGCTTTTTTTTCATCTGCTTTAAAAAATGGAATCTCGGTCTTTCTTATTGCGTGTTGGTAACTCGTGCTTCAGGAAAAACCGCTGGTGTTGCAAGAACCGGGATGGAATTGCAAAAGCCAACAGTGCTGACTRAAGCACCTAAAAAGTTACCAGTGGCACACGGTGCCTATAGATSAGACCCCACAGACACCCAATAAATAGATTTGCCTTCGCAAAACCCCACATTACTGTCCAAACTCGCGGTGTTTTGCTGCAGTTGCTCCCTGATAAGCAAAATCTGTTTGCTGCTATTTGGGAATGTTTTGCAAGATAGGTTTCCCGGCTCTGCCGACGTTTCCCTTTTTTTTTTTTTTTTTTTTTTAGTGCTTCATCTGGCATCGAGGAGGCTTGGATGGGGTGTGAACAGCGCTTACTGCTCATGTGTAATAGCAGGGGATTTCATTGCTATCTCTTAACTACGACACCTGAAATGAGACACATACAGTTTCGTGGTGAGGTCCACCATTTCAAAACTGAGAATAATGAAATTCTTGGACCACTTGCAAAATATCTAATATTCTCTATTATTCTCGAATTTTATAGCAAAGACTGGTATTTTTTCCTTTGAACCTAGCAACAGGTGAGAGATCAGCTTGCTCAGGAACATGCTGCAACCCTTAGAGAATTATCCACAGAGTTTGCCCTCAAAGGTCATAATTATTCCTCCTGCCTTTGCCAGAGATCCCCCCTCTACTTCTCTCACTTGTCTTCTTTAAAGCCAAGGCAAACCACTGCAGTTCATTAGGAAAACTTATGCAAGGATATAGCATCTCCATGTAGATTAGGATTTCACGGAATTAATTCCATGGGATTTTAGTTAAATCTGAAWTAATTAGTATAATTCCTAGGAAAAGTGTGGGGTTTGCKTTAGTTCYTTTGTCTCTTTTAAAAGCTGCAGTATTGTGTTCTGAGTGTATTTTAATTCAAGATAAAATGTGACTGTTTTCAAGAAAGGTTGAGGTCTTTCTGGATCTAAAAAGGGAGGAAGAAATATGGTGATAGAYATTAATGCAAAACATGAAATACGACTGCACCAACAAGGATCACTKRGCCACAGAAATTCTCTAGGAGGTGCAGATCTGCCATTTCTTTAGGTGTTCTTTAGCAATGCCTGTGAATGTTAWTAGACCAGGAACAGGAATGGTGACAGCAATAACCTRTGATATTTCCTTAACCCTCACCAGACACGCAAGACAGGCAGAAGGAGGAAATAATTTCATCCAAAACTAGAAAATACAGAGTCAAGAGAACAGCTTATTCTTCCTAGCTCAGTCAACACTGCTCTCCCTTCCTTCACATTCCTATTCAGTGTTTGAATAGAACATTTCTTTCCCGTCATATTTATTATGCAATACTATTTGCAGAGTAGGGATAGAAGGTGCTGTCCCAGGGAAGCCTGCAGGGGAAGGAAGGGTGGAGTTCTGGCTGTACCTTTACAGTAAAATGCTGTGACAGTTTTAAAGAAATTAGCTTCCTTTAAAGGAAGGAGTGTGGACTAATTTCTTCTGCTTCTGGCTCAGTTCTCACCGAGGCAAGTCTACACAATGCAGCTGAAGTTGTTAGCTGTTCTATTCTCCTACTGAAGAACTTGCAAAATGAAAAAAAAAAAAAAAAAGAAAGTAAAGCTCAAGTGCTAGTTGAGAGCCTTGTGTATATTACTCATGACAGAAGGAGAGATTTTTGAATTTCCAGCGTTGGTAGAAATAATGGAGGCTCCCATTGATTTTGGAGGACTTAATTACAAGGAAGTTGAATTCAGTTCCCCAAAATGTTACATTTATAAAGTTGCTGATTGTTTTCAACTGCCCACGCAATGCAGATTCCTGTAAATGATGCTATTGTTCCACATACAGCTTTTTGACCTCTTGTTCTGTAAACTAAACTCAAAAAGAAGGCTTTTCCACCTTGAATACAGACCCACTGTTTGGTTTTTTTTTAATATTTTTAAGGTAGTGAACACATTGGAAGACATTCATTAAGCACATAAATATTTGCAGTGCATTTTTCAGAGCCAACATAATTTAGTTCCTAAAGAACTAGTTTCAACAGCACATAARCTCAGTTGTTTGCCTTTGGTTTGGGTTTTTTAGTTTCAGTTTTATTTTTGTCTTCAATCTCAGCAGAGTGAAGGGAAGCTGGCAATTGCATTCTGCTCCTTTTGGCTGATTCTTCCTTATTGACCTCAAGTTAAGGACAAAATGTGACTGTGTCAGGCTACTCCAAGCATGTGATACAGCATGAATTAAGGAGTGGGTGCCAAAGGTCCTCATCTTTCCCTTCTGCCTCTTAGTGACAGAGCGGGCTCTGCTGTCAAATCCTGCACTTCCTTAGGCATGTTGTATCCTTGGCTCCCCCCAGGAGGGACGGAAGGCACATGTTTGGAACTAGGCTGGAACAGGTGTCGTTGTMAAGTGTCCAGTGCACCAGGGTAACGAGTCACGCTGTCGCATGCACCCTTTTGCCTACTGGGAAGGAGCGTGTGTGCAAAGGTGCCTGTGCCTGCACAAGTGGATAAACTCTGTCTCTCTGGCATAGGGAGYCAGCATAAACAGGTCATGACCTTGGCTGCCAGTGTCCTTACCCCTGCCCTTACCTTACCCCTGTGCAGGGAACCTTTCCATAGGTCCCAAGGAGGGCAGGGTGATTGCAGTGAACCATTCCATGTTCTGTGTTCTATATGTGTTTTGGAAGGTGTCCACATGCAGTATTCCATTTGGTGAGAATGGTTTTATTGTGAAGCCATGACTGCAGTGATGCAATGAATGTCTCGCAGGATATGTTTTACTTCTGGCCTAGTATTAGACAATAGTTTTCACTGAATGACATTTTATATTTAGAATCACTCTCACAGTGTGCAAATGAGTAAATGTTGCAGTTGCTGTCTTTCTGGTGGACAAAAAAAAATTAGATAAATTCACATTTTGAAGACAGCTAATGCTAAGTCCTTTGAAAAGCAATTATTGAGACATTAAGGTCTTTACATGAGTCATGGAATCACACAACGGCTTAGGTTGGAAGTGATGTCAAAGATCATCTAGTGACAACTCCCCTGCCAGTGAACAGGGACACCTTTCACTACACCMGGTTGATCAAAGCCYTATTATTCAAATCAAAATGTGGAAATCAGAAACCCCCCCAAGAATTTTGTATAGATAAAAGTAAATGTTCTTGGGAATTAAAATGAATAATTCAGAGAGATTTAAATATTTATTAGTGGCATAATGGATACTCTGTGCTTCAAAATCCTTAACAWGATACTTGGTCTTCTAGCTTCCATAAAAAATTATGACAACTTACTGCAAAATTTACTCCTGAAATTATACACTGCATTGAAGGGACCCATTAAAAATGAGTTAGCTTTCTGCTGTTTTCACAACTGTATTCCGCTTTTTTTTTTTTTTTTTTTTTTTTTTTTTTTTTTTTTTTTTTTTTTTTTTTTTTTTTTTTTTTTTTTTTTTTTACTTTAGCAAATGAGTTAATCTAATTACTGCTTCTTAAGCTGATGATCAGGTCAGTTCTCATGGGCTCATTCTGTTCTTTACTCTAGCCTTCAAGTTAGCAGAGGCAACTGCTGCTTATACAGGGTATCTTTTCACATTTTTTTTCACTGAATAGTGGATATTTCAAAAAAACAAACTTATGTGAAATTGCTATGTACAATAATAGGATTAGAAAAATGTGAATTGCTCGAAATACTGACATTTGACAGTTTTCCATCTAAATCCTTGTTGCGGGTTGAAAATTTAGTGATCTACACTCCAGGCTCTGGTTTTCTTATGTGGTGAAGRTATTAAAACCAAGAAGCAACATTGGAACTACATGAAGACCTTGAGACTGTCAGTATACTGGGTTTAAATTCTGTTAATCCTGCCCTAGTCTGAGCTCTTATGTCATGTAGAAGAACTAAAAGAAAGGAGGAAAATATAAAGTTTCAMGTGGGAGGTGCCATATGTCTATAGGAAGAACAGAAGAATAGTTTTTATTAAAGTATACCATCAAATACGTGTTTTACTAAGGAAAATACACACTTAGCATAGAAAATATATCTCATCTTTTTGGTTTTCTGTTTCAGTTTGCTGATGGCATGCTGAATTACTGTGCAACACCCTCAGATAAGCGTTGAGATTTCAGTACCTATTATTGTATAGAGATCTAGTCATTTACTCTAGAAAATTAGATGCCCTCAGGAACTGTACATTTGTCAATGAACTTCAAAGATTTTTTATGTATTATCTCTATGAAACCTCTAGGAAAACAT